TTCTTTTTCTTATTTACCAACTTTCCTCTGGGATTAGCATGTCTGGAAAAGGAACTAATAATTAATTTCCTTTAGTGACATTCCCAACTTAACCTGTAGTTGAAAAGTAATAAGTTATAGCACTTAGTAATATTTCACTTCTCTTCTTCCTTACTATTTAATAGTCACTTTTTGTCAGTTATTAAAACATGCCAGTGCTCATGTCTTAAGCAAACATTTAGTTCAAAGAACTTGGAACTAAATTGTTATACTATATCATTCTTACCTTTTATATGACCGCTTACTGTATGCTTTTTTCTTTGATCTGAAGGTGCAAATAGATGTCCATCACAGCTCAGTGAAGGACTCTCACAAATATTCTGGTGGAATGAATGTCAATAGTGAGTTGCATAAAGATTCCCTATTCACACACTAAGAAGACATCTAAATTACTATTTTGGAAATCGATGAAAATTAAAAACAACTATTTATTGAAAACCAAATCTTTTCAAGAATGGAACTTCATATAAGCAATCAAGATGAAGCCTAACTTTTGTCTTCATATGGCTACTGGCTCTGAACACTGAGCATGGAAGGAAACACAGAAAACATATTCAGAGGAAGGAGAAACCAGTGTCATGTTTCAACAAAGAACCAACTTCAGTATGCCTAACTACTATACATTCCCCACCAATAACTTTTAAAAACTACATAGTTTACCGTAATTGATACACTTTTTATATAAGCATTCAAAATTTAAAATACTACAATGACAGACTATTTTAGTGCTAAAATAAGATAACTGACAAGAATTCAGAGGATGTCATGTGGGACTAAAATTAGAATATGTCACAGCTGCTTCACTTAGGTTAAAAAAGACTTAGGAAAATTTAAATATTTTTTTGCAAAATTTTTATTGCAATGAAAGTAGTTGAGGCCTGGGGTCATGGCTTAGTGGTGGAGTGCTTGCCTAGCATGTGTGAGGCACTGGGTTCCATTGTCAGCACCACAGAAAAATAAATAAAGGTTTATCAAGAATTAAAAAAAACATTTTATTTTTATTTTTTTAAAAAAACAGAAAGTAGTCAAAGAGATGGATAAACTACTGAGAAGAATTTTTGTTTACTTAGATAATAGTACTTATCTTTTAGGTACAGTGGGTACATTTTTTTCATTTAAGAAAGAACATCAGGGCTGGGGCTGTATGTAGCGCAATGGTGGAGCATTTACCTACCACGGGTGAGGCACTGGGTTTGATCCTTAGCACCACATAAAAATAAATAAATAACATAAAGGCGTGTTGCCCATCTACAACTACAAAAAAAAATTTAAAAAGCAATAACATTAAAAATATATACTCATGTAGAAAACAGGCAGTGTAGAAACATTCAGTACCTCCTGAAAGCTATCTCAGTGGAATTTAATCAACACTTGTGTAAATGCACAAGGACATGGATGGGCATCTGTGGGTAAGCACTGGGTCACAACTTTAGAATAATAACAGAACTCATAAAAAGAAAACATCCCAGGAGTGCATAGGACAGAGTGATGTTAGAAAGGGGAAACTCCTCTAAATGTGAAAAACCCATCAATATCAACAAAATTTAATCTACTATAGGCCAAATGAACAATGAAGGCAAAGGCTGACTTGGATTCTGCACGAGCTGGCACTAGAAATTTGGGGCGCTTCAGGTTCTTCCTGACAGATTCTAATGCTTGGACAGAGAAACATCCTCACTAGGCATCCTTTGTCTACACCTTCTGCATAGTAGATAAGAAACCCCTCTAATTATTAATAATTATTGTTCCAACATTAAACTAAAACACAGATTTACTGAATGAGCAGAAACCCACCTCAAGATCATGTCAGATCATGTCCCATAGAGAAATTGAGACCCAGATCTATTGAGAACTCTGGGCAGCTGGAGAAGCAGTCAAGTGGTTTTCATAAGGGACAAAAACCCAGGGCACTTTCACTTAAATGCTGTTCAAGCTCTGTGAGTATCAAGTTTGTATCTACAACAAACCCTGGGCTTGGATGTAAGAGTCTTCTGTGTGCAAAATCTGCCACCTCAGGGATCCCTAGTGTTGATTCACCTGATCTGTCTTGCTAGGCTGTGTCATATTTTCTTCCTAAGTGCTCATTCTGTGTCCTTCTTAAGGGTGCCAATTTGATCTAAGAGAAACCTTAAACATTTGGAGGAAAACCATTCTTCCAAAATAGATAGCTTGCTCCCCTGCTAGAATGTCCAAACAAGCTATCCAAAAATGTTGGTGAGTGCAATCCCCAATAGAGACAAGATCTACCAGATGTGGACACTCCACCATATTCTGAGACATTAGGAGACGTGTGGCCACCTCCACCAAGAAAGGGGGTCTAGTCACCTCCCTACAGATTCAGAGAGACTTTTCAGGGGTAGTCACAATGGGAAAAGGTTCATGGCTGACACTTTGTGCAGGGGAAAAATCTTCATCACACAGTGGTCATCTCTCTTAACTGGGTTGGTGGGCTCCCACTCTGAAAATTAGTTTGAGCCAAGAAAAGAGAGTATTGTACAGAAATGTTGAAAACTCTGATTGGTAGAAATTACAATCCATTTGATGGACAGTCTGTAGATTGAAGGTCAAGGAAATCAATGCCCATTTCTAATATGTGGTTTTAACTTCATGGCAGGGATAAAAGTAACTGTATATTGGATCCTGAGGGAGAAGGGTCCAGGAACAGTGAGGCAGAATCTGGAAGACTAATGGTCTGTAGTACTGAATGGTCCACAGCCACCTTAGGCAAAACATTTGAGCACCCAGCTCCTACAAGAGCAATGCCTCCAACTGAGGTATAAATAAATACATAAAAATTAGCAATTTTTAAAAGGAAGATGAAATTACTATTGTGACTGGCAACTTTTCTTTAGTAAGCCCTATAGGGAAGGAAGAGAGGAGCTCAGCCTACACTGATTTACTACCAGGGTTAACCTATTCAGTCTAGTGATAGAAAGGAACATATTGACATGCGATCACTCCCATGAAATCTCCTTCCAATGGTGGATTATTAGTGTGAGAGATAAGGGTTTCATTTTATTTTTCTACTTGTGCATTTTCAGTTTTCCCAGCACGATTGGTTGAAGCAGTTTTTTTTTCCAGTGTATATTTTTGGCGCCTTTGTCGAGTGTGAAATTACTGTACTTGTGTGTTTATCTCTGTGCCTTCTATTCTATTCCTTTGATCACCATGCCTGTTTTGATGCCAATATCATGCTCTTTTTGTTACTCTAGCTCTGTAATATAATTTAATGTCTATGTTATGATGCTTCCTGATTCACTTTTCTTGTTCAGGTTTGCCTCAGCTATTCTGGGCCTCTTATTTCTCCTAACAAATTTCATGACTGCTTCTTCTATTTCTATAAATAGTGATATGGTATTTTAATAGGAATTGCACTAAATTTGTATAATGCTTTTGGTAGTATGTCCATTTTGATAATATTATTTGTGCCTATTCAAGGACATGTGAGATCTTTCCATCTTCTAAGGTCTTCTTCAATTTCTTTCTTTAGTGTTCTCTAGTTTTAATTATAGAGGTCTTTCATCTCCTTTGTTAGATTTATTCCCATGTATTTTTGAGGCTTATATGAATGAGATAGTTTCCTTAATTTCTGTATCAGCTGATTCATCATTGAAATATAGGAATGTATTTGATTTCTGGTTGTTAATTTTGTAACCTGCTACTTTGCTGAATTCATTTTTGAACCCTAGATATTTTTTGTGGTGATTTTGCATCTTCTAAATACAGGATCATGTCATGTCATTGGCAATCATAAATACTTCTAGCTCTTCTTTTGTATCCCTTTAATTTTGTATCCCTTTTCTTTCTTTCTTTTTTTCTAATCGCTCTGGCCAGTTGTTCTAGAAATATGTTGAATAGAAACAATGAAAGGGCAGCCCTGTCTTGTTCCAGTTTTTAGAGGGAATGCTGTCTTCATTAAAAATTACATTGGCCTTGGATTTGTCATACATATATAACTCATACAATGGTGAGGGATACTCCTTATTTCCCTAACGTTTCTAGTACTTTAAAAATGAGTGAATGCTGTGCTTTATTGAGTACTTTCTTTGCATTTATTGTGATACTCATGTGAGTCTACTTATGTGATAAATACATTTATTGACTTTCAGTGTTGAAAAAGCCTTTCATGCCCTGCATAAAATCCTCTGGATCATTGTGCACTGTCTTTTAAAAGTATTTTTGTATGTGATTTGCCAGTATTTATTAAGAATTTCAGTGTCTATGTTCACCAAGAATATTGATCCCAAGTTTTCTTTCTTTGGTGTGTCTTTGTTCAGTTTTGGAATCAGAATGATACTAGACTAGCTTCATAGAATGAGTTTGGATGGGTTCCTCATGTGTTCTCATCTGTCCCTGCCCTCCCACACTTTTTTTCTTCTTCTAATTTCTGGCTAATGACAATTTCATTATTACTAATGATAAATTCTTTATCAAGTTACTTTTAGATTGTTATTCTTACTTCATTTCATTGTAGATGGTAGTTTAAAGAGGTTGTTTTCAATAAAGAATTGTTTTAAGCATATATATGTTTTGCATGTTAAGTTGTCAAACTGACTGGTGGTTGTTATCTCCTGTGAGAAAGACATTAATGAGTATGGAAACTAAATTTGGGATTTTACACTGAGATGTAACCTGTGACCAGGATGTAACCTGTGACCACCCCATGGAAAAAAGTGGTTCAGTAAAAGACCTATCTATAACAGTGGAAGAGGAATGTATCTGGACATAAGCACAAACCTCAGCATAGAAAAAAAAAGGCAACATGAGTGAACAATGCATTGATAAGACACTTCCAAATCTTCATTACTACCAAACAACTGAATCTGTAGATTTATTCTCTATTGTCCTCTTAAGATGATGGATAAAAGTGTTTAATGAAGTGTACCAATTGCTACATGGTAATTGAATGCAAATGGGTGTTTGTACTCTAATAACAAACATTCCATTCTGGTAGGAATGATGACCTTCATTTTCATTAGTGTTTGTATTGTAATCCTGTTATCTGCCTTTCCATATGCTCCAAAGTCAAGCAGAATGAACTCTTGAACTATGGCAATTAATCACTGGTTATATTAAACTAAAAGTTTTGAGTGACTGGGAATGACCACTCTGTTTCACAATGAGTATACTTAAGCTGCCATCAACTTGACATTTGTTCATAATTTCAATTGTTTATTCATAAGACCCAAATTTTTCCTTTATCATTTACAGATATTATACAAATGGGAGCACATTCAATAATCTTAAAGTGGCCACACTTCAAAGGATAAATGTTTTGCCATTTTACTATGGAAAATAAACACATTTTAAGATACATAATCATTTACAACGTTTTAGATTAAGAATTAAACTATGATGTATACTTTTATAAATCAATTCAGAAAGGCAATTGCATTTGAACTACTCTACATTACTAAAGCATAGTAACCACTATGAAACCACCAATTAATATTTATATATTTACACACATGTGGCTGTTTCTTTTCTGGGCCATTAAGCCTTCTCTGGTGGTTCTCTGATTCTACTTCCACATGTGCTGCTGCTGAAGAAAAGTAAACAGTTATTAAACAATATAGAGGGCGCAGAAAAAGCAATAGTCTAATAAAACAATAGTAATATCTTTTTATTTTATCAATTAGTAATTTTAATGGACCATAATCTTTAGTTAAATATGTACTTCCTTTATTATTTTATTATCTTACATCTCATTTGATTTTATGTCTGTGTTTCTGTGTGTGTGTGTGTGTGTGTGTGTGTATTGCTAGCGATTCAACCCAGGTTCTTGTACATGGTTGTCACAATGCTCTACCACGGAGGTCATTCCACAGGTCTTTTTAGTTTATTTCATGACACCCTACTGGCCTGAAACCTACCAGCAGTCTGCATCAGCCACCCAAGTCACTAGAAATGTAGTGTGCTCCACAGCACACCTAGGATTGTTTCTTTAGTAAACGCTTCTACTCATCCGAAATTCATCAAAACACCTGGTGGGACACCAGCTTTAATGCATACAAACATCTCAAATGTTAATCCACAAATTCATCTACTCAAATGAAAAAAAATCCACAGAAATTAAATTTGAAAGTGCCATAAAAATAAAATTTAAGCCATACACTCTTCTATACCTCTTGATAGAGAATGTGAATCATCTACTTTTCATCATTAATGGCTTCAAAAATTACTGATAACTTCTCACATCTTTATCAGTTAACTCCCTGTTCCTCATATCTGAGGTGTTATTCCTTTTCTGTCCCTGAGACTCAATTTGCTCTGTGAAATCCTACTTGATTATGGCTATCATTCCTTATGATGACATTAATGAGGGCTTCTTTCCTTGGGCCTACTTTACCAATTCATCAACTTCCCTACTATTATTTCAGCACTAGAGACATCAATGATTTCTTTTAAAGTCAATCTCTTCTGCTGCTCAAATGGAAGGGATAATCTTTTAGGTCATCTGGTGTAAACTGTCTATTCATTGGACCCTCTAAGTGTTGATTGAGCTCCTGGTAGTGCTAGTGTGAATAAAAGGTGCCAGGGATGGTTTTTCTGGAGGTATTCCGGAGCTGAGACTTAAGAGGTGAGGGTAGCCCAGCCAGAGTGCAGGAAAGGGTACAAGCAAGACAGGAAGTAGCAAGAGAGAAGAATGAGTATTAAATGGGGTGTGTGCTTGCCCCAAAATATAGGAATTAGTGAGGAGTAAGGCCAGAGGAAAGGGAAGACAGGAAAGGACTAATGATATAGAGAGTTGGGCAAAAGTCATATTATGAAAGCACTAGAGGTAACATTGAAATACTTTCCCATTCATGTCCTTTAGTGTTTCATGAACATAATTTCATGGGAGCTAGATTTTTCTAAATGCTATGTGTATGGTGAATGTCAGGCACATCTGGATAAATGGAAGGAGATGAACAAGTACAAGGGAATAACACAACATTAAGAAGCTGCCTGCCTGAAATGAAGAAATTCCCACAAAAAATATTCAATATAAACAATATTATAAAATAAGTTTTTATTCAATGAATACCAGTATAAATATGATTCCCTGGTAAATGAGACTCTGCTCAATTCTCTACAAAAGTATCAAATGATTTGTGAGGTGAATTACAGGGACTGTGTAAGTTGCTTGTTTTTACTTGGTTGGTTTTCACTTTTATATATTCCTAGGTCCAGGACACTCATTTAGGTGTTTTGTTAATAATTTCCTGACTCTTGGATCTACCAAGCTCAACAATGAATAAGACAAGGCTAGGGGTGAGGCTTAGTTGTAGAGCATCTTCTTAGCATGCAAAAGGCCCTGATTTCAAACCCTTTCCTTTAAAAAGAACAAAAGGAAGTAAGAACACTAAATTCAATGGTACAAGTAACTACCTGTAAATTTATAGCTCTTAGGAAATACCCTGGAAATAATTGATTTTCTTCTATAAAAAACAATAAAAGATGATAATGTACAGGAAAGAGAAAAACATGAAATAGGTGTGATTTCATAGTACAAACCCCATCAAGTCAGGGAATAAGTGCACTGACTTAACAGATACACAAAGTTGAACTAATGTTCAATGATATTATCTGCATAGACTTGGTGTCAAGTTAGTACTAAAACTGGTTTTTAAGGAGAGTTGTTCTCTCGGTTTTAAAACTTGTCTCTAACTCATGGAATCAAGGACAACTTTTGTTATACCCCAAGAATAAGAGATTGTAATGTGCACCGATATTCAGCAATTCAGTGAGAATTTTTCTAACATATTAAAGTCTAAAAACATCAAATTCTAAATCCCTAAAAATTTCTGGGAATTCAAGTGGTGTAAAGATAAGTGTAGGAACATTCAAGATTAGGATTTTTTTTTTTTTGTAATTGTGTATTTCTTTTTTTTTTTCAAACACGGATACTAAACATTGGCATTAGCCAAGTTTTCTCAAATATTCCCACCAAACATGGAAAAAAAAAAAGAAATAAAAATCGAAAGTCTTGGATAAGCAGGATTAATATTATCAAAATAACCAAACAACCAAAAGCACTTTATAGATTTAATGTAATTCCAATTTAAATCAATGATATTCCTCATAGAAATAGAAAAAGCAACCATGAAATTCATTTGGAAAAATAAGAGACACAAAATAGCCAAAGCAAACCTTAGGAAGAAGAGTTAAGAAGGTGGCATCACTGTACCAAAACTTAAACTATACTACAGAGCTATAGTAATGAAAGCAACATGGTATTGGCACCAAAATAGATATGTAGATCAATGGAACACAATAGAGGACACAGTCACAAATCTACATAAATAGAGTTATCTCTTACTAGACAAAGGCACCAATAACATGCATTGTAGAAAAGTGGTGCTAGGAAAACTAGAAATCCATATGCAGCAAAATGAAATTAAACCTCTATCTTTCACCCTGCACAAAACTCAGCTCAAAGTGGATCAAGGAACTAGGAATTAGAGCAGACTCTGCACCTAATAGAAGGAAAAGCAGGCTCTGATCTCCATCATATCAGCTTAGGATATGATTCCTAAAGTGCAAGAAATAAAATCAAGAATCAATAAATGGAAAGTATTCAAACTAAAATGCTGCTTCTCAGCAAAAGAAAATATCAATGAGGTGAAGAAAGAACCTATTTAAGGAACAAATTTTTAGTACATTCACATCAAATAGAGAAGTAATCATCAGGATATATAAAGAACACAAAAACTTAACAGCAACACTTAACACCTAAAAGCAAGCAACCCAATCAATAAATGGGCTAAGGAAATGAGCAAAGACTTCACAGAAGAAGATATACAATTGTTCAGCAAATGTATGAAAAACTATTCAACATCTCTAGCAATTAAAGAAATGCAAATCAAAACTAAGTTTTCTTCCCACTCTAGTAAAAATGGCAATTATCAAGAATTTAAGCAACAATAAGTGCTGGCAAGGATTTGGGAAAATGTATACCATTCATTGCTGGTGGGATTGGAAAATAGTGGAACCACTTTGGAAAGCAATATGAAGATTCCTTAGAAAACTTGGAATGGAACCACCATTTGACCCAGCTATCCCATTCCTCGGCATATACCCAAAAGACTTCAAATCAGCATTCTATAGTTATGCAGCCATCTCAATATATATAGCAGCTCAATTTACAATGGCTAAACTGTGGAACCCACATATATGCCCTTCAATAGATGATGGATAAAGAAACTGGAATACACAATGAAATATTAGAGATCAGCCTTAAAGAAGAATGAAATTATGGCATTTACAGGTTACTGGATGGAGTTGGAGAATATCATACTATGTGAAGTAAGCCTACCCCACAAAACCAAAAGGCAAATGTATTCTCTGATAAGTGGTTGTTCCTCCATAATGGGAGCAGGGGGAGGAAAGGGAAGAATGGAGGAACTTTAGGATGAGCAGAGGCAGGAAGAAAAGGGGAGAAGGTGTGTGTTGGGGAAAAGACTGTGGAATGAAACAGACAGTATTACCCCATGTAAAGGCATTATTCCATATATGATGTGACTCTACATCATGTACAACCAGAGCAATGAAAAATTGTGCTCCATTTGTGTAAAAAATTAAATTAATTAAAAAACCAAATGTGACACAAAAACACAACCAAGAATGTAGGTTTGACAAAACATGCAGTCAGATTGCCAAAACTAGATTATGATTTCCATAACCAGAAATCAAGTAGGACATTGTTCATTTTCCAATGGCAATTTTCCGATTGATGCAAAGAAAGTCTGACCACAGGATAAAATCATGGCCCTAAGAAGATAGCTGCAGGAGGACTGTAACATTGTGTCTCCTAACAGTGACACACTAGAATTATTTGCACCTATTTATTTCAATGATGGAGCCTATCACTCAGATTCTCCTGTGATTTAGTATGTGAAAAGTTATGATAAAAGCCAGTGGAATACACAATTCTCATCAAAGAAAGCTTTGTGAACTGTTCAACTGAGATACATATCTTTAGAATTACAGTTTATTTTAAAAAGTTATCTTTTTCCATACCTGCATTGGACACCAGTGTGCCTACATTTCTTGCATCATCTGGCTGAGCTATGTTTGCTATTCTTAATCTACTTCTGTGAGAAGATGTACCAAGATCATCTAAAAAATGATGTAGAAGAAACTCAAATTGTTTGAGTTTGGTAATAAGAAAGAGAGATAAACAGATATATATGAATGATTAGATATGAATATCCTTTACTTTTTAAAATACATGTAGTTGATTCTCAAAGTAACAAATTGAGTATTCAAAGACTGAACTCTAGAATGTGTTTGGTTCCCAACATTATTCTGCTGTGGTATAACTTGTTAGTCTGAAGAATTTTAATGAAATGACTACCTTATCTATCTAGGGCTGAGCATGTAGCTCAGTGTCAGAGTGTCTTGCTTATATGACCAAGACCATGGCACCTGTTGCCAGCACCAACATCAGAGGGAAAATATGAATCATGGGGGAAATAGTCACTATCTTTCAAAGTCCAGCCAATGTTCCTGTAACAAATCTCATCTTCTATGAATAACTAATGTCAATACAACATATATCCCCTCCCTGCATATTATGGAAGAGGAAGAATGCATAACTTAGGTGTCTTCCCATGCCAACATACCCTCCTGCTTCACATAATCTCTGGAGCAGGAATAATCTAATCTTTGCTTCCAATGCAATGTTTCATTTGCTTTCCAAAGTGTATTTTCACAAGTTTCATTGTGATTTCTTAAATTACCAAGCTAATTCCTTCCCTCCTTCCCTCCTTCCTTCCTTCCTTCTTTCCTTCCTTCCTTCCTTCCTTCCTTCCTTCCTTC